GTAGGGAAGTTATGACTCTGATTCTATAGCAAGTGTGTCATTCAAGTTTTAAAAGTCTTAAACTTATAATATGCAAATTCGAGATCACCTAAAGATGTACAAAACGTGATCCTCAAATTTGTCTATTTTGAATTTAACTTAAGCTGTAATAGTTACATAGTTCTTCATAAAAATGTTAAAATGATCGCTATAGTTTTTTGAAATCTCCCAATTCACACACAATTATTCATACAACCTATCTCATTCAATACTGTAATCGCTTATACACCCAATTATTCATACAGCTCATCCCGATTTTTGGCTTCTACGATTCATTTTGAATCCATCAATCTCATAAAATTATTTGCAGCTTCGTTTTTTTCTTAGTATTCGGGCTATTTTATTCTTTTTTTATCAATTGTCGTTTTCAAGTAAACGTCAAATTATATTTTTCGTCAATTTGAGATCGTACTTGCATGGTTTTGAAAGGTTGGAGACCTTCACGCCATAGTTCATACGTTAAAGACATGGTTGTCACATTTATGAGATGTTTTAACCGAGTTTTTTTCCTTTAAAATAACACGGGAATTGGAGCATATGTCCCTAAACTATAGCCTATATAGTTAGAGCCATAATCTTTATTTTGAAATTTTTACATCTTTGAATAGAGTGGACATTTTAACTGAAATTGAAGGTTCTGATTTGATTTCCAAAAAAAATAAAAAATTAAGAATCGAAATCTAGAACTGAGAACTATTTGGGTTCGGGTTCTTGAAATGAAATTGTGGGTGTCCGACTCGAAACATAATTGTGCATGTTATAAATTTACAATTTATTTACTCGACTCAATGATCGATCCAACAAATAGCAATTTTACATCCCTAATAAATCTGATTCTTTAATTTGAATAATTGAGTCATATCACTTTCATTCATAGCCATTTTGTTCACGCTTTACAAGATGACCACCCCCACAATCCATTTTTAGGCATTGCACGCAGAGTTACAGTCGAGATTGAATACTATTATGCTACATATTGAATGTTATTTGATGACATGCTCATAGTGGATTAAAAAAAAATGTTGCAATATGTATATTGCAAGATAATTTGGATTATCAACTCACAATTTTTAACATAAATGATATGGGTATAATCGAATTCGAATTTTCGAAGGTTCTGTTTCGAGTTTGGTTTCGATATTAGGTGTTATTGAATGGTTATATTTATGAAATATTTGAACTATAATAGGTGATTTTAGGGATGACAATTCGAACTGTTAAAACCGAAAACCGCGGTTAACCGATCCGAATGGGGCAAAAAAAATCGAACCAATGGTACAATGGGGCGGTTATGGTTTTGATTTTAATGAACCGCTTCACTTAGGGGCGAGTATGGTATTTAGCGATGGTGCACTGCCCCGAACCGATTACCCGTTCAAAAAAATTTAATTGGACTTTTCATCAGTATTTTCCAAAATTAA